AAAAATGTAACTAACATAAATTTTTATGAACTTACTATTTTTTTTTTTCTCAAGAGTTCGTGCAAGTTAATGAATGCATTTAATGGTTGTAGTAGTAGTAGTAGTGGTAGTAGGAGAAGAAGAAGAAAAGAACGATAAGTATGCGCTTAGAGAGTATACACACGTCGAAACGAATGGCGTTCATTCATTGTTCTTCTATCCGTTGAATGAAAGTACAATACAGCTGATTAGATGCATTCGTTTTCTCTACATATATTATCATGAGGAAAAAAAAAAGAATAACAACAACTTTGTCAAATTTCTATATTTTATTATTTGATTTGATATTTGATCCAGTTAAAGAAAAGTGGCATTGTCCCATAATGTGCAGTAAAACGAGTAGTTCAAGTTAAATAATCAGAGCACGACAATGAACATCTGTATATCAACGATATCAATTTCACATCATTTCTAACGTTCACTACTAGAACAGATCGTTATCAAAGAGAGCAAAAAGATATGAAAGAATTCTTCACTTATTTTCTTCTTGATAAGATGATATATTCTCGAGCACATAATGCCGACAATAAGTAAAGTAAACGAATGATTTGGTCGAAAGAAGATAATGAAGAACAATAGAAATTTCTTTCAAATCATGAAAACTACAATTCATCATCTTATATTTCTAGTATACTATTCAAAAACAAATCCTATCGAGATTTTATTATCATGCCATATAAAGACAATGTTTCCTGAAGCTTTCTTTTTACAGAAATATAGTATTTTTGTTACTATCTTTAGATTGCTCTAAGTAGAATAAAGATAAATAATCTTGAGCTTCTAATAATGATTTTATCATTGCTAACTATACTTATAAAACAAGGGGAAAAATCTATTTGTTTCCTTATCATTTTCTTTATTTGATTGACAACTGTACATATTTTCTTCTGATGAACAAACGGAAATGAAGACTACATACATACATACGGAAGTATTGTCTTATGTAATTAAGCGTGTGTGTTCGTCTGACCCTTCTGGCACCCAATTGGATTAACCGTAAAAGATTACCGATTGACTAGCTACTGTCTGTCTATGTCTTATGTTATAGAGGATATGTCATCGAAAACCGATTAGCACATCGAATGATTCTTTGTTGTTATTATTTTAGTTATGATAAAGATGAAGAAGAAGAAGAAAAAGCAAGTGTAGTATCCTAACTATCTAGCCATTACTAACAGAGAATGATCTATCTATGAATAAATGTTTGACATTATAGGAAATACATATGCTACTATGAATGATAAGATAAAGATTAAAAACAAACATTTCATTTTTTCCACTGATATTTTTGATAGAATATTCTTCCGATGAGATTATTTATAAGAAG